CAATTAGAGCCCAGTCTTTACTGCTGAGTAGTTTTGGTCTGCAATTTACTTGTAATGGGCGTACTTGAAACATATATTTAATAGCTGTGATTAGTTTAGAAGAACCTTGATTAGGTCAAAGTAAGCTCATCAAAATGCATTTAACAATTCTATTTAATCTAAACAGTTCATTTTAAGTGCAATCATTTCTCTTCAGATTACTGTCTGCCTACAAAGGAAAAAGGCATTTAAGAGCAGGAATTTTTATGGCTATTATGAAGTTTGAGTTGGTACTAAATTTTGGATCTATATTTCCATAAGGATCAAGCTTTTTAAAGTACAACTCTGCCCGGGCTATGGACATTCAAATATTTATGCAATCTTTACTAAGCAGTAAATCGGCTTTAAAACAGGCTGTACTGATCTCTGTAGCTGCAGGATTGTGGGGTAATGCATTCTCAACTTTCACTAGAGATGCAGTGAAGTCATTCAAGTCAGGTCTCAGCTCTTTGATCTCTCTCTCTCTCTCTTATTGCATCCCTCCTCTGTGTTTATATTAGAAGCTCAAAGGCTTAACAACTTCCAACTAATTGCTGGGAGGGGAGAGCAGATTGAGCTGGGCTGCTGAAATGAAGTGAAACTGTTCTAATGTAAAATATAATGCAGTATTAAGCCTAATACTAAAAATGCAATATGCTGCAGTTTATCAATCATCAGAAATGGTGGCTGCATTAGTTTTCATTTTTTTAGGCTTTCCTCCCTCTTTTTTCACTTGGTGATCTGGCCAGTAACACACCTCATGTATTAGAGTGCCTCCACTCTGGATAAAGGAGCACAGAGGCACAGCAGCATTGTCAATCTGGGGGAGGGGAGTGATAGATATACTAGCAGATTTAGAAACGGTAACCAAGTGAATCTGAACTCCAACTCACACTACAGTTACACAAGCAGTTACAGCAACTGTTCTTTTTCTTTTGGGATAAATGTTTACATGAATAAATAAACACTGATCATTGTAAGCACCCCTGTCAGTGGTAAATGGTTTGTCTCAACGCTAACTGATACATTTTCAGGAGAGCTTGTCCTGTTGAAAAGCAGACTTACTGGTAAAAGAAAACGAATGCAACCATTACATCTAAGAATTGGTAAGTTGCAATATAATAATGTTTGCTTTTGGTATTAATAGTGCTTTAATGAATACAGATTAGCGAATCTGGTATATTGACTTTGAACTCATCTTTCATACATTTCAAACTCTCAACCCCAATTAATATTCCATAACTGATTTTGAAAAAAGAGGCTACATTAATGTATAAGAAGACAACACTCTATATCACATTTAGTATCTAACAAGTTGTAATTTAATTCTGCTATACAATATGCTGGTTGGCAGATTATGAAACCTTGTCATACAGAAATATAGATTTACCCAGTAGAATTGGCATTAAGGTGTGTCTTCTGAGCATAATAAAATATTCTTCAGCACACCTAACACACCCCTCGGAAACTAGATGGAGTTTACTCTGTGACACCCTGTTCAGGTTCAAGAATAAACTGTTGCATTTGGTATCCTGGGCCAAAACAGGTTCAGGATGGCAAAGAACATACATGTACTGCAAATACAAATGGATTAGAAACATAGACTCTTCACAGCAATTACTCTGTGGATCAATCAGAGTAATGATTAGCATAACCTCTATAAATACAAAGGCAAGCAAATGAAGGGATTCAAGGTTCAAGACAAAGGGCCACCCCATAGGAGCTGGAGTCTTTTGGCAGCAACTGGGGCAAGATTCCCCCAATAGCTGTGTCTTTTGGAGGAGCTGCATGCTATTAGGCTGTGGCCTGGCTACCCTCACGACAAATCTGACAATGGAGGGCCTCTTACCTGGCTGCAGATCACTTGCCCAGCTACCTCTGCCCTCTCAGGTGTGGTCTTTCTTAACTGGGAGGGAAGCAGAGAAACATATCTTTTCTAGGTGTGTCCAAGAATGCAGGATGTTGTGAGAAAAAAATTAAAGGGGGCCTGAACTTGCATCTGAGCATAGTAACTAAGTGGACACTCCATTACATTGACAAACCTCCGACTTGACATTTTTATTCCAATTTTACAAATTTTTTAATTGGCAGCATTTTTTTTTAGGATCTTAGAAGCTTAAAAAATAGTTACACACATTTTTAGGTGTAAGCTTGCTTCGTTCTTTAATATATTTTTGTTTAAGACTAGAGGTAAATCTTTGCTTTTTAGAATTCAGTGACCTACATATCTTGCATATTCTAAACTCATGTAGATAAAAATCCTCACACACGCTCATACACATTGTACATTGTATTGTCACAAAAAAAGAGAAGAATGACAGTTATTTTTTTATGTTCTATTGATCTCTGCATGCAGGGATAATTTTGTGTTTTACAGTAGAATAAACTCCTGATCCTTGTGAATACATGACATGCACTTCCAGGTGATGCCCTATGGATGAGCTTGTGAATTTATAACATTTCAAGGCTGATTTTGCATGATATTATTCCATCCAGGGTTTATTAAATTATAGAATTATAAATTTTAGATAAAGTAGACATTTACATATATCATCATCATCATCATACATACATCTAGTTGCCATAGGTATGATTACTTCTGTCTTAAAGAAAACCAGTCAGGAGTGGCCATTGTATGTATCTGAATGTATATTATACTATAACTAGGCAGGGTTACCACTCAGGGATAAGTAGGAGTTCTGTCATTTACTGGTAATCTTTTCTCGTCAGAGCAGAAATGGCAGCTCAGTGTGTGGCTGTAAGGCCCCCATTGATGTTGACCTGTTTTCTGCCTTAGCTCAGGGCTGATTATTGGCATTTAATGTAAGCTCCATAAAGAGGGTAAAACTGTCAATTAACCAAATTCTTCAAAGCACCTTTCCTACATTGAATCTTTTGTGTGAATGTCATCAGTACTGTGATGAAGCAAGTGATGGGACCAACTTACGGCATGACACATCCAATCTGATGGCATAAGACAAAAATATATAATCAAAAATCAAGTAGTCACTGAGAGGCAAAACTGTACTAATACAAATGTTAACGTGGAAAGTCTCTTTAAAGTTCTCTTTAAAGATGTCATGCTTTACATTTACTTATGATATCAATATTATCTGTGAAATTGTTCTGAAATTAGCTTTTCTATTTACTATGATCATTGATACTTTACCAGGATATACAGTCATGGCCGAAATTGTTGGCACCCTTGATATTTCTCCAGGAAATCATGTATTTCTCACGAAACGTATTGCATTAACACATGTTTTGCTATACACATGTTTATTCCCTTTGTGTGTATTGGGACAAAACAAAAAAAGGGAGGAAAGAAAGCAAATTCGACATAATGTCACACAAACCTCCAAAAATGGGCTGGACAAAAGTATTGGCACCCTTTCACAACTGCGGATAAATAAGAATGTTACAAGCATGTGATGCTCCTGTAAACTCACCTGGGGCAAGTAACAGGTGTGGGCAATATAGAAATCACACCTGAAAGCAGATAAAAAGGAGAGACGTTCACTTAACCTTTGCATTGTGTGTCTGTCTGTGCCACACTAAGCATGGACAACAGAAAGAGGAGACGAGAACTGTCTGAGGACCTGAGAACCAAAATTGTGGCAAAATATCAACAATCTCAAGGTTACAAGTCCATCTCCAGAGAACTAGATTTGCCTTTGTCCACAGTGCGCAACATTATCAAGAAGTTTGCAACCCATGGCACTGTAGCTAATCTCCCTGGTCGTGGACGGATGAGGAAAATTGATGAAAGATTGCAACGCAGAATAGTCCGGATGGTGGATAAGCAGCCCCAAACATGTTCCAAAGACATTCAAGCTGTCCTGCAGGCTCAGGGAGCATCAGTGTCAGCGCGAACTATCCGTCGACATTTAAATGAAATGAAACGCTATGGCAGGAGACCCAGGAGGACCCCACTGCTGACACAGAGACATAAAAAAGCAAGACTACAGTTTGCCAAAATGTACTTGAGTAAGCCAAAAGCCTTCTGGGAAAACGTCTTGTGGACAGATGAGACCAAGATAGAGCTTTTCGGTAAAGCACATCATTCTACTGTTTACCGAAAACGGAATGAGGCCTACAAAGAACAAAACACAGTACCTACGGTAAAATATGGTGGAGGTTCAATGATGTTTTGGGGTTGTTTTGCTGCCTCTGGCACTGGGTGCCTTGACTGTGTGCAAGGCATCATGAAATCTGAGGATTACCAAAGGATTTTGGGTCGCACTGTAGGGCCCAGTGTCAGAAAGCTGGGTTTGCGTCCAAGATCCTGGGTCTTCCAGCAGGACAATGACCCCAAACATACGTCAAAAAGCACTCAGAAATGGATGGCAAAGAAGCGCTGGAGAGTTCTGAAGTGGCCAGCAATGAGCCCAGATCTAAATCCCATTGAACACCTGTGGAGAGATCTTAAAATTGCTGTTGGGAAAAGGTGTCCTTCCAATAAGAGAGACCTGGAGCTGTTTGCAAAAGGAAGAGTGGTCCAAAATTCCGGGTGAGAGGTGTCAGAAGCTTATTGATGGTTATAGGAAGCGACTGATTTCAGTTATGTTTTCCAAAGGGTGTGCAACCAAATATTAAGTTAAGGGTGCCAATACTTTTGTCCAGCCCATTTTTGGGGTTTTGTGTGACATTATGTCATATTTGCTTTTCTGCCTCTGTTTTATATTTGTTCCAATACATACAAAGGGAATAAACATGTGTATAGCAAAACATGTGTTAATGCAATACCTTTTTTTGTGTGAAATACTTGATTTTCAGGAAAAATATCAAGGGTGCCAACAATTTCGGCCATGACTGTAGGTATTGCAAGAGATCCATCAAGAGATTTCTATAATCCAGTGAATCTAATTACTGCACAGAAAGTGGACCTGAACTCAAAAGTGAAGATTTTCTATCTTATAGGGCAGGGGTAGGCAACCTTTGAGAGGTGAAACTCTACCTTGACAAAATGGAAAAGTTCAAAGATCACCAGCAAACAGTGCTCTGTGTCCCTCGGACACAGTGGATCACCGATCCACGGAAAGAGCCGAAGATGTCGGCTCGGTCATGTGATCAGCTGTGTCCAATCACAGCTGATCACAGGTAAACACGGAAATGTCGGTTATCGGCATTTCTCTCATCTCGAGCTGTCACGCTGACAGACGAGAGGAGAGCTGGTAATTGGCATTCCGCGGAGGGGACATGTACACTGATCATGAGGGCACTGATGATCAGTGTGCCCTGATGATCATTGTGGCCCCAGAAGTGCCACCTGTCAGTGTCCATCAGTGCCAGCTGTCAGTGCTGAGCAGTGCCACGTGCCAATGAGCATCAGTGCCACATCAATGCCACATATCAGTGCCTACCAATGCACATCAATGCCACATATCAGTGCCCATCTGAGCTGCTCTTCAGTATCACCCATCAGTGCCAGTCAGTGCTACCTATCAATGCCAATCAGTGCCACCTATCAGTGCTGCCAATCAGTGCCACCTATCAGTGCCAGTCAGTGCTGCCTATCAGTGCGCATCAGTGCCGCCTATCAGTACGCATCAGTGCCGCCTATCAGTGCCCAGTCAGTGCCGCCTAACAGTGCCAGTCAGTGCCACATAACAGTGCCAATCACTGCCGCCTATCAGTGCCAGTCAGTGCCGCCTATCAGTGCCATATATCAGTGCTGCCTTTCAGTGCTCAACAGTGATGCCTGTCAATGCCCATCAGTGCCACCTACCAGTGCCTCCTCATCAGTGCCCATCAGTGCCACCTATCAGTATCCATCAGTGCATCTTATCAGTGCCCGTCACTACAGCCTCATTAGCGCACATCAGTGAAGGAGAAAAAATCACTTATTTACAAAATTTTATAACAAAAACTAAGAAAAAACATTTTTGTTTCAAAATTTTCAGTGGTTTTTGGTTTGTTTAAGAAAAAATAAAAAAACCCAGAGGTGATTAAATACCACCAAAATAAAGCTCTATCTGTCACAAAAAAATGATAAAAATTTCATATGGGTACAGTGTTGCATGACCGCGCAATTGTCATTCAAAGTGTGACAGCGTTGAGAGCTGGAAATTGGCCTGGGCAGGAAGGGGGTATAAGTGCCCTGTAGGCAAGCGGTTAAACATGTCCAGTAAAAAAAAAATTAAAAAAAAATTTTCTTCATAAATTTAGGACAAAATGTATTCTGCTACATGTCTTTGCTAAAAATAATCCCAATACGTGTAAATTAATTGGTTTACATGAAAGTGATAGTGTTTACAAATGGCGATGTATATACTGGAATTTAATTTTTTTTTAATGGTAATGGCGGTGATCATCAACTTATAGCGGAACTGCGGTGGGCATTCTGACAATGGGGGGAACTGACTTGGTGTCACAGACATCCCCAGTGACACCAATACAGTGATCAGTACTAATAAAAAGCACTGACACTGTACTAATGGCACTGGGCAGGAAGGGGTTACCATGTGGGGCAATCAAAGGCTTAAATGTGTGCTGTTTCCCTATGTGGGCTGTGTGTGTGTTTCACTGTCAGCACACTGTAAGCACACTGCGTCGTATAGCTCTGCTATGCAGAGCCATACAAAGCAGTGTGCTGGAGCTCACAGATTGAGAGATCTGTGTTGTTTATACACAGGTCTCTCCCCCTTCGGTAATTCTTGGAGATCGCTGGGTGCCACAGGGACCTGGTGATTGACAGCCGAGGCTATAGGGTGGCATGGAAGCAGTTAAAGAAAGTAACTAGCAAGCCCCTAGTAAAAACTAAGGTTGGCATAAAGAAAACTTAGACAAATACAGTTTTAAAAATATAAACTTAGACTACCTTAAAAAATAGCATCACGTGGCATTCACTTTCATTCATAATCTTTTTCATGTTTGGGGAGTAGCTGGTCACCCTCACAGGGCTGATGCAGGAGTCCATCATGAAGGCAAAACAACTAGAAGGTGACTTGCTTGATTAGTTTTAGGCCTGGCTAGCTTCAATGCTAGCAAACACAAATGCTCCTGCGCTTGGGGATGGACTCGATGCTACAACCACATTAAGAATGTCCTGGAACATGCACACCTTGCTGCCCTCAAATGGACCGGGGGAATCCAAATATACTGAATGGGGAAAGAACAAAAAGAGGGCGCACAGGCCTAGTGCATTACCATAAAAAATGTTTAATAAAAAATAAAGTAGGTGTTGTACTCACAAACGACAATATATTCAAGGCACATCATAAAAGAACAGCTGGATCAACACCGCGCTGAGTAACAGTCCGTAATAGGGAGTTTAGACATCCAAAAGGCTGACGCGTTTCGAGGACTTGCCTCTTCCTCAGAGCCAACTGACTGACAAATGTCTGCTCCCTCTTTTATATGCTCACTACTAGTTAAACCAAAGGTCACATGGGCTGTCCTGGACACTCCCCTGTGCAGGTGGAGGAGTCACAGGGGCAATCGACATAGTGTAAGTAAACACGAAAGGTCTATAAAATATATATATATATATATGTGTGTATAAATAAAACCATTGAAACTAGTGACAATCATAAAATCATATGAACCATAAGAAGTGTGCACAGTGAAAAATGAATAAATAAATGGAAAGTTACACATATATAAAAAAATAATAAAAATCCTTCCCTGGTGATGCACTGCACTGCTCGCCTTTAAATAAATGGATGGATGGATGAGCAACGCTACGAAGCTGCCTAATGCTCTGCTTGCCATAGACAACCATGGGACATGGATTTAATATAGAGAGTAGATCTGAAACCCAGCAGAGACACTTATTAATTCATAGAGATGCAGCCTACAGGGTGTGTGCCTCTCATTCTAGTATAGTCATATGATGAGACGTAGGCATGTGTGGCAATGTAGTGCACCATGGATGGATATGCATATGCAATACTATATACAAGAACAAAGGAGATAAATCACTAGTAAAACATAAATGTTGATATAAAACGTTACAAAAAACTTCTTAATATGGCTCACAAAGTTTAAATAAAATAAAATTAAATAAGTATTGTTACAATATAGTATAATATCTGGTAAAATTGGTATAGTGTATGGTATATGTGTGTATGCATAGACATGGAAGCATAAGAAATATAAATATATAGGAAAAGAAAAAAAAAAAAAAAAAAAAAAAAAAATTATAATAAAATAATAAAATAAAATTAATAATTATATGTACAAAAGATGTATATATGTGTTATATATATAAGAACTATATAAAAATGTCAAAGGCGCTATGGAACAAGCACTTGCAGGATGAGAAAGCAGTGCTCGAAGAGAGCTCACTTGACAACATGTGTGCGCACATGTGTGTGTAACACATCCACATGAGCAACTGCTTTTTAGTAAAAACCATGTCTATACATACATACATAAACCCACACACACATATGGAAACTGAATGAAAAAATGGGTGACCAATGAATGACCCATAGACACAAGCGCATGGGAATGCGGTCATACGCAAGCGCCTAAGGGTGACACAATAAATATGAAGTGAGCAACCTAATGTGTAAGGATGCAGGGTAATGGTAGCTATACTGATGATACTATAGTAATCATAGCTGATGAAAATGAATATATCTAAAGCATACATCTGTAGTGGATGGTGTACCCACTATAGGTCACAAGGGAAATGATGGAATTAGCACTAAAGAGGGGGGGGAGAGAGAGAAAAAAAAAAAAAGGAGGGGGTTTGGGAGAGAGACAAAAAGGATGAGAGTAGGACTCTAGGGAACATGTGCAGCTCAGCAGAAGATACCTATGCATAACGGGGAGTCAGTGGATGACCCCATGTATCTCAAGATCTTCATTAAGCCCAGTGGGTGAGAGGGAACCCAGAGTGAAGATCCAATAGGTCTCCCTCTTACATAGTCTTTGGAATTGCATATGCATATCCATCCATGGTGCACTACATTGCCACACATGCCTACGTCTCATCATATGACTATACTAGAATGAGAGGCACACACCCTGTAGGCTGCATCTCTATGAATTAATAAGTGTCTCTGCTGGGTTTCAGATCTACTCTCTATATTAAATCCATGTCCCATGGTTGTCTATGGCAAGCAGAGCATTAGGCAGCTTCGTAGCGTTGCTCATCCATCCATCCATTTATTTAAAGGCGAGCAGTGCAGTGCATCACCAGGGAAGGATTTTTATTATTTTTTATATATGTGTAACTTTCCATTTATTTATTCATTTTTCACTGTGCACACTTCTTATGGTTCATATGATTTTATGATTGTCACTAGTTTCAATGGTTTTATTTATACACACATATATATATATATATATATTTTTTTATAGACCTTTCGTGTTTACTTACACTATGTCGATTGCCCCTGTGACTCCTCCACCTGCACAGGGGAGTGTCCAGGACAGCCCATGTGACCTTTGGTTTAACTAGTAGTGAGCATATAAAAGAGGGAGCAGACATTTGGTCAGTTGGCTCTGAGGAAGAGGCAAGTCCTCGAAACGCGTCAGCCTTTTGGATGTCTAAACTCCCTATTACGGACTGTTACTCAGCGCGGTGTTGATCCAGCTGTTCTTTTATGATGTGCCTTGACTATATTGTCGTTTGTGAGTACAACACCTACTTTATTTTTTATTAAACATTTTTTATGGTAATGCACTAGGCCTGTGCGCCCTCTTTTTGTTCTTTCCCCATTTAGCTTCAATTCTAGCCTGGCTGTCTGCCAGTTCTGGCCAGGGTAAGTAGTATGTAGGTAAGGAAAAAATTATACCCACCAAATGGGTAAAGCCCCATAGATGGGTAGAAAGTGGTTAGTATTACGGCATCCGACACCTACTGTTTTAAATATCAAAGTTTTATTATATAGTATCAAAAAGTGTAAATAGAATATATCAAAAAGTTACTCATAAAATACATAAACACGGTGCTTGGTTCACCATAATACAAACATAATACAAACACACCTATGAAGTGCATTCAAACAACATCATCTATTAGTAGGGAAACATATGTGTTACACAAAACCAGCATGGACAAGCGGCCACTTGTAAAAAATCAATCAATTAAGGTCTAGCTGGCAACACACCACATATATGCCCCAGGGATTATTTGTATTAGTTAAATATAACTGACCAGTCGATCATAATGCCTAGAGAACATATTTTCTAGAAGAAATTACTGTAGATTGCAAACTACCTTAGTAATACAGTGGATGGACTATAGGTCCCACCTTAGCAAGTTACAGGACCAGTACTGGTATTTAGATATATGTAGGCATTTTCATCGACTGGTCGTTTATATTTAACTAATACTAATAAGCCCTGATACATATATGGGGTGCATTGCCAGCTAGACTTTAATTGATTGATTTTGAAGTGGCCACTTGTCTGTGCTGGTTTTTTGTAACACATATTTTCTTCCTGGACGTCCGGATGTTGTTTTATTGCACTTCATAGGTTTGTATATGATGTCATATACATTTTAGTGTCATGCAAATGGAAGATTATGGAATCATATGACATCTTTTTAATGGTTTTTATGCATGTTTTTTGAATAAATATGGTACATTTCTTAACAAAATTTGGTGTTTAGCATTGCTAG